GGTTTCCCCCCCCCCCCCCCCCCCCCCATCCCTTGCTGTGTTAACCACCGTAAAGGTGTGCCGCGTGCCGTGAAGCTCGAATAAAGTCACGAGGACGGAGAGTTTTTTTGGGAAGACCTTGGTGTGTTACGCTGGTACATCGCAACGACGTGGAGCGGCGACGCTGGGCTTTGCCCCTGCTACTAAATGCGCGTGGGGCCAATGAACGACCCGACGAAGCCTTGCCTTCTTCCCCCCGGCCGTTGGTTCATCAGCCGCCGGCAACGTCCTAAAGTTGCCGACCTATTGTCCAAAGCCTTGACTCGTTTCGATTCAACACGTTGGCTCTCTACACTGGGGCCTTCGGCGGGGAACCTAGCACCAACGCACGAGGGGGAGACGCTCTTCGCCCCCTTCCACCACCACCTCCGCCTCTCCGCGCCTCTAACATTATCTCCTCGAGGCTAGCTAGGTCCCGGTCGGGTACCGTCCTCAGCTCCCTGACGCTAAGCAGAAACCGATGGATTCTCCGCGCCCAGTACCGTAACGGTCGCGGTGACCCCGGCGATCCCACCGGTGTTGATGGCCCCGGTGCGGGCGCTGCTGGGGATTGGTTTTGATGGACAATGTTGCTGGTGCCGGGATGACGTGTGTTGACGACGCCCGAGCTGCCGCTGTCAGACCCGTCGTCGCTGGGGGTAATCAATTTCAACGGAAAGCGAAAACAAACATGGGGGGGGGCAGTATCGATGCATACATTACATGTGTACTCCTGACGCGGAGCCGTAATTCAGTAAGAACTAGTACAGAGATACGTATAATAGCCGCATCCATTCGGAACCAAGCAACGTTCTTGCGGTCAATTCCCAACCTGGCAGCCCCCCCCCCCCCCCGAGTACAAAGCCGTGAGAGAATATGGGCGGGCTGAGGGAGGAGCGTTGGTGACGAGAAGCTGCGTTTTGGGATCAGAAAAAGACCGAACATAAAGGGGAGCGGTCATTGCCAACTAGCAAAAAAATAATTTCTTTGGTCACTTTTTTCCCTTTTCGCAAGAAAGGACCAGCCAAAAACAGGATTGCGAAAGAGGTCGCCTTAAGTGGCCGAAAATCAAATTCCAGACAAACGCTCCGCGGGCGCGTCGTTCGCGGTGATGGACTAACCTCGCTCGGAGAAGCTCCGCCAGCGCCGACCTCTCGCACTCATTCGCGGATGGAGTATGTTCCTCCTGTGCCGATGCGACGAGCAACGCCAAATAGCGGCTGAACCTGACCAAGCTGCCCATAGGAGGCCCCGCGCACTCGGGAGCGCGGCCGCCGGTGCCCCCTTTTTCGTCCGAGTTTCGTTCAACTAAACCTTCAGCTGCTGTTGTTGTTGTCGAGATGGGTGTTATTTTACTCTCCTCCGTGCTTCTAGGCCCCATGGAAGTCGTCGTGTAGCCGACGGCCTTTGTGCTGCTGGTCGCGTTGTCAAAGGAGGAAGCCTGCTGCAAGCCCCGCTCGGGTTTTGCACTGCCCCCCCCGTCGTCGCCGTTAGAATCGCAACCCTGACAGCTGTCTTTCGGGTGGTGAAAAGCAGCCGGGAAGAAGGCGCCAAAGGCTTCCGATCGTGCGGAACCCTCGCCCGCGGACACCCTTTTCTGCTCGCTTCGTTTTGTTCACAGGAAGGGAAGGCGAAGCAAAGAGCAGGCGGCCCACATTGCGAGTACAGAGATGTTTTTTTTTCCATGACGGGGCACCCCTCCGTCTGGGCACCCAGTCAATGACTGTTGCGACGTCTTCGTCGTCGAGAAAAAACAGAACATACATGTGTTCGTCCAAAAATGTATCAGTTGGATCCGTTTGGAAGTTACTGAGACGATACCGGAACGGTTTTTACGGTCAAGACAACAACGAACGGCAATAATAACATTTTTACGTGGTGGGTTTCAGGTGTTGTTCGCATCGTACCGCCGCCTGCTGCAGATAGATGTCCTCTCAATCAACCAGAAACTTGTCGTTTCTCTAGACCGCGCTTTTTTTCCCCCCTTTTCCTTCCTCACGTCAGTCCAGGGAGCACTCTTACATTCGGTAGCACTCCAAGAGGATAGACAACCAAGCGGGATAGGCTGCTGGCAGGCGCTCCGGTTGGTCCGGGCTTCCAACGACGCCGCCTGCAATCATGGTGAATTGTTTTCCTGTTAGCATGCGCTTCAACCTATGACTGACGTGGTTGCTTCAACAGGGTGTGAGTAGTGGATAGTCTGCCTGGTCTGCCTGACAAACGTGGGACCAAAAGGTAAACTCCGTGCAATTACCACTTCGGAGACAGTACGGGGACCCAACGGAGCAAGATAAAAAACAAACAGGTAATACGATGTATGTATGTATGTAGTTTCGTCCATCCACATGCCGGAAATGTCTCTTCCGACCAGCGACAAAAAGCAAAACTTCGCGTTCCACGAAGACTCGAACATCACAAACTCTCAGATGTACGAATAAAAGAGGCACAGACGGGCGTAGGACCCGTCTTGCCTCGCGATGCTGCAGCAGGGGAAGGCAGCTCGAACCGCAGCTCCGCCTGCTTCCTGACTACCAACACCCGTACGTCGTAGTAGAAGGTCAACCACTTGTCCGCCGTCTCGAAAAACGCCTCCAGTTCATGTTGATGGTTATCACCGCTGTTACCCTGACACCAAGACACGAATAAATCGGGACGCCGACACGGAGGTGGCTGCTGGTGCTGCGTCATCGTAGCCTAGCCCGACGGGGGGGGGGGCATCGTAGCCTAGCTCGGGTGGGAGGGGAGTGCTAAGCTCATCTTCCGCGCGATAGAGCTAGCTCTGTGCCCTGAATGTCACTCGTATTGTCTCTATGACCGTGCGCTATCAAGCATTTGATTTACGTTGTGGTACACACAAGGCGCGCACACAAGTACTTAGGGTAGGGAGGGAGCCGTATATCGTTCGACAGACTTGGGGTATACCTACAGTCTTGATTGTTTGTGTGTTTTCGTTTTTATCGTGCTGATGGGTTTGATAGTCCTATTCTTTTCCTAATGAGTTTGGGTGGGTTTTGGGGGGAGAAACTGTTCTGGCTGAGACTACAGAAAGGTTGTGTTCCTTCATCGGGATATATCCCTTACAAAACGCTCTGAAAGAAGCAACATGCTACATACACGGGCGTACGTCTGCTGCGGCTAAGCTTGCTCACCCTTAGTTTTGGGGCGAGAGTTTCGAACTGCAGCTCCAAGCTGGCGAACAAACCGTCCATGCCGCGAGTGAGGCGTTGGACCGTCTTCATCTCGTCGGATGTGAGCCGACAACCGCGTTGGCACCCACAGAGGGTCAGAAGCCCTGCACGATCCTGGTTTTGGGCGGACGAACAAAAATAAATGTAGGTGTTGTAGGAACTGTTGGTTGACAAGGGTGGCGATGCGAAGGAGCACAAGTTGTGGCCGACTACCATACCATCTATTCTGCCATCACCGCGTCGCCTACTCTACCTACCTGGGAACGGAGGGACCGCCTTCCCGAGGATTTTATTATTAATGTACGAAATAGAGAGGGGGGTTTCGTATCTCTATCCCTGACCCTTACCCCCCACCCCGTGCTCCCTCACCAAGGGATTAATTAGTATCCTCGCGAAGGCTACTCGAACGAACGGGATGCCTGGTGATGGTGTCGCAGCTGACCTATCCATGTTAATGGCGCTATAACAACGTCCACCACGCACGTCGACAACGTCACAGACAAGAACCCAGGTTGAAGGCACGGACAGATGATCCGCAGGTTACATATCTACTGTAGTGCTACAGATCTACTCGAAGTACTGTACCTGTCTGCTTTTATCGTCTCCTAAAAACCGAAAATTGCTTAATTACTTGAGATTGTATGGATTATTTAAATTTGCCAGAGCAGTGGCAAGTGTGAGAGGATTCGTAGAAGAACTGTTCCTCCGTACACGATTTCGCTCATACAGAAGCCGGGCTGCACTGACTGACACCTGGCACCAAGGCTATTCGTTGTTTTTTGCTGTTGAGAAAGGAGTTTTTCACCACAAATTGTATCGAAGAGTGGGCCGCGTGTGTGTGTGCTAGGGGATAGACATACTTACATGTGTCTACATACACCGACGACTCACATCTACTGCTTAGATTCGATGCCGGGGCTTACCGGAACACCGGTTTAAAATAAATGCCAATAGAAGTTCACAACCACCGTGGACAAGAGCGAGTGGTAATGTCGCACGAGGCAAACCCTCTTCCAGACTACAGATGGCTGCGGTACAAATGATACAGCAGCAGACCAGCTCCCGCTGCTTGACACCACCGGACCGGTTCAACTTGACTCCCCATCCAGGTTTGTTTGTACACCGATTCTCCAGTAACATATATATAGGGTAAGCATCTACGCACCTACCTGGGTATCAAGCCTCCCGCTGGCCCCGAGCATACTCTCCTCCGCCTTTGTTGCGTTGTGCTTCCTCAGGCCATCCAATGCTCGCATAGCTTTCGTTAGTCCCAAGCGTCGGAGGTCCTCCAAGACCGGCAGATCTTCGTCAACGAAGTTGACAGCGGTTTTCGGCGATCGGCCTACTACGCCCAAGAAGTTGCACAGGGAAACCTGCATGGAAGATAAACTTAGTCGTGGAAGCGCTAGCGACGGAGGTGGCGGCGGCGGTGGCGGCGGCGGCGGTGGTGGTGGTGTTGGTGATGGCTCCATTTTGCGGTCGTGTATGATAGATAGGTGAATGGTGTTGTGTTGGGGGAAGGATCGCGTCAAAGACTATGACTATAATATTATAGTCATAGTCTTTGGATCGCGTGCGTGCCAGGAGGAGGGGGTCTGCAGAAGTGATGGAGCCGGGATCAAGCAGGTGCTGCACAATGTAATTCCTAGCTGCGAAATACGCTCTCCTCCGAGTTGCCGAGCGACACAGAGAGTGCCCAGAGAAACAGAGAGAACACACGCATTGTTTTTACTGCCATTTCAGAGAGAAGGAGGCACGAAACAACCGAGAAGACACTGCTTCCTTGATGTGTCTACAAGCCGGACACAGAGGAGGAGCTAAGCGAAAGGAATAATGACAGATCCGCCCGTGGGCAGCGAGCAAACGGGAGGTTCCCTAAGCGCCAATTTCGCCACCCTTGCCCAGGTGCTTGTTGAGATCATTCTTAGCCCCGTTCTCCGAGTCTTGTTGAAGGCGCCGTGTTTGCACGAAAGTTTTGGGGTAGCTTGGCACACGAACATTGCGAGCACGGTGAACTGAGAATTGCGCCAAGGGTTGCTTGTTGCACGCCTGCTGACGAGCAAATCGCTCTCTGTAAATTTATTCTCTCGTTGGGAGAGACACACAAACCGCCTTCTCGACAATTCCCCGCACGCGGCTGCGAGGAGTTTCGAGCTCGCACATCAGTCTCATACACAGGTCGGGAGCAAAGGGTTTAAGTGCCATGAGTGTAGTGCCTTCGATGGAGACAAAGCACAACTCCCAATGGCTCGAGTTTTGTTGCTCGCCGACCTTTGCAAGCCCTCCGCTATCTCATTGCTTGCTATGTACTCCTGAAAACCTTCTGCACCTGTACGCATAGATGTAGAAGGTAGCGCCCCTTCCGAGCCAGCACCCCCCTACAGGCCACGCGCTTGCCGCTGCCACATGACTAGACGATAGACGAGGCGAGAAGTTTCATCCATATGCAGGGCTAAGGACGAGGGAATTGTGCAGGACGGTTTATTCAACGGCGCATGCAATGGGGTAGAAGCACACCCACATGCACTGCTGCTGTCCTCTCCCCTGCACCAGGTTCAATCGCTCATTCTTCAAGTCTAGATCAACCAAGCGCTGGCACTGCACCGGACCTCAGTACCCCGCTTGCTGCTGCCGAAAAGTCAATCGAATAGCAGACCTCCCGGTTGCGGTGGAAGTAGCACCGCTCTGCCAGGCAGGCAAATGCTACCGGCTGAAAAACACGACACAGAGAGACACCCAAACATCTTACAACAGAGGGAAGAATCAGTATCTTCGGTGATTCTTCTTCCGGGAGACAAGAAATTAATATTTCCGGCACGGCACAACCTATTATGAACTAAAGCCAACCTTTTTGGCCGCAAACATGGCGGAGCATTCTCGACGAGATGGCCACCATCCACCGGTAGACGTGCTGCCCTCGCTGCGGGCGACTGCCGTAGAGGAAACCACGCAAGAGCGCCAGCAAGAGCGGGGCGCTCCAAATCAAACTGCACCACCGCCAATGGCCACATGTGTGAGTCATCCCGTTCAAACTTCCCACCAAACCTTTTTTTTTACCTTCCCACCAACCCTTTTTTTTTGTTCTCTGTATCTACGTGTCGTGCGAAAAAATTAAAACCCCAGATATGCGGCAGAGGCGACACTGTCGAGGCCCTCACCCATGTCCTCGCCCAGCAGCGCCGGGCAGCGGCGAGCCCGCGGGGTAACGCGGCCGTGGCATCGGTGTCCGCCGGGACGGGACCCTCGAGCGAGGCGGCGGCGGCGGCGGCGGCGAAGGGCATCCCTTCCCCCCCGCCGCAACCCTTGAGCCAGGACGACTTCGCCAAGGTCAGGGCGGCGGTCATCGAGCGCGACGGCTGGTCTAAGCCCTCGCCCTTGTCGCCGCTCGGGGCCGGAGGCGCCGCCGCCGCCGCGGGATCGGCCGCTTCGTCCCCGGTCGCGCCGAACTCGCCTTCTACGACGGCGCAGAAGTACCAGCGGCAACCGCGGTGGGGCTCCGCGGCCGCCGCGGTCGCGGGCGCTTCTCCTTCTAGGGGCGAGGCCTCCCGCGGGACGACGATAGACCAGAGGCTCTTCGCGCCTGTGCTTCGCGCGATACTTGCCGGGGAGGGGGACCACGTGCTGCGGCGGTCGCTCCTGTGCCACCCATTCCTCAAGGCCGCCACGAAGAGCGGCGGCACGTCGGCGGCCTCCGGCGCCGGGGGTTCGTCTTCATGGGCGGCCGGCGGCGCGGCGGCGTCGAGCCCCCTAGGCGGCGGCCGGCGAAAAGACGGGAAGGGCGGCAAAGGCGGCAAGGCCAAGAAGCGAGACAGGGACCGGGCGAGCAGGAACCAGGATGAGGGGCAAGGCTCTCCGTCGTCGTCGAAAGGGGGAGGTGGGGGGGCGGTGGAGCGGTTGTCTCCGCTGGACGTCTCTCGGGAGATGGGCCGGCTGGCCGAGAGCGCCGCTTCGGACGGGTCTCTGCAGTCCACCCTCATCCTCGTCAAGACCCTGCTGTGTGCGGTCGACCCCGGGACGAAGGCTTCGGTGCTGGGCATCGATTCCCCCCGCAGACGATCGCAGCAACAGCATCAGGGCAGCGGCCGAGCGGGTCGCACGCCGGCATCGGCGGTGGGGCAGGATACTTCGGCGCCTTCCACCGAACCGACGCTCAGCACGGAACCTCTAAAGGCGCTGGCGGGACCCGGGCTGTCCGGCTGGTCCGACATGATGGAGCTGCTGCGCCGGGAGAAGTATCGCGAGCGGATGGTCGCTCTGCGGGGCCGACCTAGCCTGACCGTGTGCGCCGGGAAGGCGGAGATGAGAGGGCGCCTGGAGGCGAAGGGCGAGTCTTCCGGAGTGGTAACTGCCGTGCGGGTGAGTAAACCAAATACTGGTACACCTCTTTCGGGTTAGGGGCTGGCGACGGGGTTGTAGTGCTTGAGTTGTGTGCTGTCATTTTTGGGACGAGCAAGCAGCAGCATAGGAGAGCTTTCTCTTTTTCGTTGTTGTTGTGTTGTATTAGCTTGAAAAATGTCGTCGCCAGGTGTGTACACTCGTTTCTTGTAAAACGTGACTTGGCAGGGACATCACGCTTGGGTTTTGTCCGTTGTTGCTGATGTTGCTGGTTGCTTTGGCCGGTTACCGTTTATTTGCGAGAACTATTTAACGTACGAGAAACCGTAGAGCAAACAAACCCCACGTTCCGCCCACCCTGTTCGGATGTATGTCGTAGTTCGGCCGCAAGAGGTCCGGTGCACCCTAGCGCCGGGAAAAGTCTGACGTCACCCTTCTTCCGCCTCTCTCGCAATAAAAAACGCACGAACGCCTTCAAAGGTGAACCAACGCCGGCGCTGGTACTACGAGGTCACCCTCGTCGGTGCCAGCAAGGACACGCGGGTGGGCTGGGCGCGCTGCGGCGGCGCGTTCAGCGTGGGTGTTTCTTCCGACGACGAAGAGCAGGGCGGCAAAGGAAAGCGCGACGCGGCGGTTCCCAAGCTCGGCCACGGCAGCGACTCCTGGGGCATCTGCGGGCACAACCAGGGCAGGAGCTACCACCAGGCGGGACGCCTGCGCGCGGAGAGGGTGGAAGCCGCCGCAAAGGCGCGCCGAGATCAGCGCAGGAAGGAGAAGGCGGAAGAGGAGGGCGAGGACGCGGAAGAGGAGCGGTCCGAGCGCGGCACCGCGCGGGCCGGGGAGGGCGAGGGCTGGGGGGGCAGCGAGAGCGGCGGGGACGCAGAGGGAGCGGGGGACGACCAGGAGGAGGATACGGCAGACTCGATCTTCCTCGCCTTGGGTGGTCTCTTCCGCGACACGTCGTTCACCGTGGACCAGGAAAGGGACGACGGGGGGAATCCTATCGAGTACGTGCCGGCGTCTGCGGCGTCTGCGTCTGCGGCGTCTGCGTCTCCGGCAGCATCGTCGCCCGCCCCGCCCGTTCCACTGCCGGTGCCCCCGGTCTCCGCGCGGCTTATCTCGACGCCGCCGCCGCCGACCCCACCACAAGGCATCGGGTTACCGTCTCCGTCACAGACCCCGCCCCCGCCCCCGCCGCCACCGCCACCTCTCCCGTCGGCAACGCCGTCGCGTGGCTCGGCGGGCATGAAGCTGCCCAGGTCGTCGATTTCTAGGGAGTCGGACTCGCCGCTTCGCCCGTGGGGGGCCGGGGCGGTGATCGGTTGTCTCGCTGACCTCGTCGACACGGACGGAGACGGAGGGTCGGCGGAGGAGGAAGGGAAACAGGGCAGGGTGAAGCTGCACTTTTTCCTGAACGGACGGCCGGTCAACGGCAACGTGTCCGTGCCGATATTTTCCGCGGCGATAGGGGAGGAGGAGTCCGAGGACGAGTGGGCCTTGTGCCCGGCCTACAGCTGCGGCAGCGCCTCCGACGGGGTGAACATCAACCTCGGCGGCAGCCCGTTCCAGTTCCCTCCGGACGGGCTCATCGCGACGTTGGGCACCCCGGGGGAAGGCGGGGGCGGTGGTGGATCCGGAGGGACGGCGGCTTCCGCGGTGGCGTCCCCGTCGTCGAGCGCGGCCACCAGCAGAGAGAAACGGTCGCGCTACGGCGGCTCGGCGGCGGCGGCTGCGGCGGCGGCGGGGTCCGAGGTGGACTGGACGCCCCGCGAGATGCTCCCGAAGGCGGCGGAGCGCGCCCTCGGCTCGGCGGCTGCGGCGGCGATGGCGGCGGGGTCCGAGATGGACTGGACGCCCCGCGAGGTGCTCCCGAAGGCGGCCGAGCGCGCTCTCGAGGCGGCTTTCGGGCTGGAGCAGGAGGGGAGAGCCTCGCCGTCGCCGGCTAGCGTCCGCCGTGGCGGTGGTGGCTTGGGTGGCGGCGGCGGCGATGGTAGAGAGGTGGGGTCTCCCCGAGGCAGCGGAAGCAGCGGCGGTGCTCGTACCATGGCGGAGGCGCTGCGGAGCCCGTCCAAGAAGCCGTCGTCCACCGAGTTCGCTGAGGCAGCCGCTGCCGCTGCCGCTGCCGCCGCTGGCGGAAAGCAAGGAAGAACGAAGGGCATCGTCGGTGGAGTCCTGGCGGTCAAGGACGCCGAGATATCCCGGTGCGTCCGGTTCGGCGGGCGGGGATGGGCGGTGGCCCGCCGGCCGAACCTCACCGTACAGGCGCTGGACGTCTTCCTGCTGGAGGCGCTCATCCGGCCTGCTGCGAGGGAGTCACAGCAGCAGCCGAAGACGGCGGAGCCTGGGGGGCAGGGGGCGGCGGCGCGCTGCGAGGAGGAGGAGGGGCACGAGTCGGTCGTTCTGAGCCAAGGCGGACAGGCCGGGTTTTGCCTGGCCGTCCGGGGCACGACGGCCGTTCTGCGGCTGCACGGGAAGAACGTCGGGGAGGAGGCGAGGCACGCTACCCCCGACGGCGTCCTCCCCGCCGAGGGCACGTGGTTCAAGCTCTCGGCGGCGGTGGCTAGGGACTCCTCCCAGGGCATGGATAAGGTATTGCGCCGTGTTTCGGCGTGGCGTTGTTGGGGGTGTTGCGAGTATCGACGGTCGGGAAGCTCGGGAGAGAGAGAATGGCACACGGGGTGCTCCTCCCGCTTAGCGTTTTCTTGTCTGGAGCGATTCTTGTTCGAACACGAGATATGTCTCGCTGCGTTCGGGAGGAGGGGGGTTGCTCTGCGATACATGAAGAAGAAAATGAGTGGAAACACCGCCCGAGCCGCGTGCGTGGCAGCGCTTTTTTGGTGCAGAGATTGTTTGTCTCGGCGTGTTGTGTAATGACTTTTGATCGCACTGCCGTGCTGAACACCCGAATCCGCAGGTGATATTCTACGTGGATGGCACCGCCGTTCACAAGTCCACCCTACCAAGCCCCGGGGGGAGACGAACGCCCGTGTCACAGTCGCCGCAGCAGCATCGGCAGCAGCAGTCCGGCCCGATATTGATAGGCGGCAGGCAGAGCGAGGTTGCCGTCGCCGATCCCCCTCGAAACGCCGACGTCGAGGACGCAGCAGGTATGCATACGTCGTCTGTAATTTTGGGAAAAGTTTTCTCTGTTTCTCGGGAGCTGTGCGGGGGAGCTTCTGAAAAATCAAAACAACATGGTGCCTCTGCAGTTGGGTTGACAAGTGCTTAGATTGCGCGGCGAACGTGTTTTTTATTTTTGCTGCACCACGACGGCGCTCTCGTGCTCGTGTGTGTGCACACTTAGCCGCCACCGCCTTCTGACTGCTGTCTACCCCGTTTCGGCTATTTTCTCGGTTTACCCTGTTTATTGTAACGCCATCACCGACTCGCCGGCACCCTACCCCCAGCAGCAGCAGAGCCTGCCGCTACCCCAGAAAGCAGCGGGGCGCCGCCGATAGGAGCGGCGACGACAAACCAGGACGGCTCGGTCACCGGGCTCTTCACGGGGGAGGTCGCGCAGGTACGGGTTTGGTCATCCCCGTCCTCCGAGTCTTCCCTCCAGCGCACGGTCGGCCGCTCGGCAGTCCTCGAAGCGGACGCCACCCTGGTGGTCCTGTGGAAGGCCGACGAGGGCGCGGGAAGCGTCCTCCGAAACTCGCGGCCGCTGCACCCGCCGAAGCCTGCCCGAGGCGCCAAGACGGCGTTGAGTCGCGGCACCAGCGGTGGCGGCGGCGGCGGTACCGGGGCCGAGGGCCACGCCGAGCTCGTGGGCGAGTGGGCGTGGGTCCCTTGCTTCGACCCGGAAGACTACGAGAGTGTTGCCGCCGCTGGTGCCACCGGCGGCGAGGGCACGGCTTCCGCCGGTTCTCCGGCGGCCGTGCCCAACTTCGCCGGCGCTTCTATCGGCACCCCGAGCTCCTCTTCTTCTGCCGCTCACAGGTCAGGGCGGCAAGCGGGAGGCGGGTTCGCGGGCCTGATTGAAGGCGGCGGGGCGGAGACTGACCTCGCGAGGTCTCTGGGGTGGAGGTCAGTCTCCACCGCCGGGGACGAGGAGGAGGAGGAGGTGGAGGAGGAGGAAGAGGAGGACGGCGGCGGGGCGTCAACCGAGGGGAAGGGAGGGGAGAAAGGGCGAGCGGTCTCCTCCTCGGCGCGGTCTTCCGCTTGTGCGGATGTCGGCGCCAACGCCACCGCTGCCGGGGCATCGGCGGCGCTGAGCGCGTGCGCGGCTATCGAGCGGGCGGGTAGCGGCGGAGGCGCTCCCAGGCTGCCCCCGAGGAACGCCCTGCTCGGCGTGCTGGGGAAGCTGTTCCAGCAGTGCTCGGTGTACCTGGAGCCCTGCTTGGGAGACCCTCTGGTGGAAAGCACGCCGCCGCCGCGCGGGGTCCGGACGGAAGCCAGGGTTCAGCTGCAGCTGATCCGGAGGGAGGAGCGAGCTCTCAGAGCGATCGTGCAACCCGAGGTATGTTATGTCTCGCGCAGTGCCTCGGTTACCGCGTGGCCGCGAGCGTGGTGTTTGAGGACACGACGAAAGCGTCGCGGCCAAAGAAGCGCCGGGGCGAGAAGGGCGCGCACCATGAGGACCGTGTCCTACCGCTGCTGTTGACACAAGGGCTCGTTCGTGTTTAGTGAGGTTTACTGATTTTTTTGTGTGAATACAATACTGTGTATCTCCAGTCTGCTTCCCCCTGGCTTTGTTGTGATTCGGCGGTAGCCTCCCCGTCATCCCGCCACCTCCTGCGCGGGTTTATGACACCGCCGTCGCGGGACGAGCGTCCCTCCTCCCCATTTCTTGATTTTTCTCACTCGTACGTGCTCCAAAAAAAATCAAAACGACAGCGACCGCGCTTGAATAGCACGAGCTCTGGTACCCGAGGCAGGCAGACTCCTTGCCCTTTGACGGACTGGCTGACTAACCGCAAGCGAGAAGAAAAACCCGCCCAGTCTCTCACTACCGCCCCCCCCCCCCCACGGACTTCGGGTTCTCGGCTTTTCGCTCGCGCCTCCGATGTCCGTTCGGGAACTTGCTCGTGCTGCTGCTACACGA